ATGTTCAGATTCACTACGCCTCTTCGCCCATAATTTTCTTTCATGAGTGCTAGAATATATTTCTGGTTCTATAGTCACATCATTATGCTTCGTTTTGGAAAGGATCTGATTAACAAGAGTGATAATTTTTCTATCTTTAACAGAAATAATATCCTCCAGATTCTGGCATCTATTCTTTAACAGGTCAATGGACTTTTCAACTGATGCAATAGCTTTTTTCGTATTAGGAATTATACTTTTGAAGAAAGCTACTGAATCCGATAATTGGGTGACTTTCCCACCACTCTCCTCCAAAGACCTGGTCATGGCTACCTTACGAGACGTATACTGCTCTTGCAAATCGAGAAGCTTTTCAATCTTTTTTTCCAATGCCTGTTTTGATATACACAACTCCTCATTTTCTCGTCTTAACGAAATTTCACAATCGCTAGTAATAGGCTTCATCTTCTGACGCTCTTTCTGCTTAATATAATTTTCAACCGCCTTATTTAACAAATCTTCCACTTCAGGATGGATACTACTTGCCTGTTCTAGTGATAATGGATGTTTTCGTGATGTAAGACGTCACTATGTATCTATTTTTATGGAACGAGAAAGCTGGTTAAGTTGCTTTGAGTAATATACGTGAAAAGATAGTGTTAGTATACCAGTCATATCTTATGGATTATAAAAAAATTTTGAGAATTTTATAGATTTTATAAGAAAAAATTTTGAGAATTTAAGAATTCTGAGAAATTTACGCGTCAATATCGCGAGAGATCTGCTAGAAAGCTCTGATCAAATATGCACATGACACCCGATCATTAGTCAACAAGAAAAGATCATTTTGGTAGGAATGCCACGGCTAAAATTTCGCCAAATTAATACATGATCATGTCTTTCATGATACAGATAACAAGTTTTTTATTAATTCATTTTGCAATTGCTTGTCTTCCAATTTCGCAACTCTGGCTTTAAGCTCAATATTCTCGGCCTTAATTTTATTGTTCTCAACTTCAAGCTTGGCAATGCATTGTTTCAATGAATCGGATAAAATTATTAAATTTATAATTGACCCTATCATTACAACGTGACCCATTTCTCATGTACATTTGATAAAATAATAATACTTTATTTATGAAATAAAAACGTTGCCAAAGCAACCACATAAAAAATGCGAATATATCGCTTTACATGATGCAATGAGAAGAATACATTATGTTTCAATGACTGTTAATGCTTGTTGTTTTTGATTTTTGATACTGAAAATTTTGATATCATCCACCTTAATTTCATAACTATACATCCAAAGTATAATAAAACTAACTGCACCATTGATTACTGCCGATTGTATAACCTCACCGGTTGATAAACATGTACAAACAACATTGGCTGGAGGTGGAGTTGGAATTCCTTGGTTGTCTACGAAATAAACTCTTGCTACATCATTCGTCATTTTTTCAGTTTTTATACGGAGGTTATTATCAAGATCCTTCGTCTGTGGACTGTTCTTTCTATATGAAAAAGTACCTTGTTTTCTGTGCATTATAGAAGAATCGATAGATTGACCTGCTGTAAACATTGTGTTATTAATCCATTTGAAAATATGATTTAAATTTAACTGGTAATACGCACCTTAAAATTTTGCAGGAAAGTTGGCTAAACTTTCACATACTTCAGCATGCTTTATATCCTTTTTTTTTTCTCCCGAGAAAATCAGGCGAAATCTTCATACCTTTTCACATAGAGATCTACCCTGTAAGACGCAAAGATAGTTATCTCTTGTAGATCTCGAAATTACAAAGTTCTCGGCCTCAAGCTCACTAATGCGTTGTTTTAATGAATCGGTCTCACTGAGATTATCTATTTCAGATTGCATGCTTGCGTAATATAGTATTAGTATGTTAATATTCAAAAGTAAAAAATCACATGATTTTCCCTCACGACTCGTAAGCGAAATTTGCCAAGAAATTTAGAGACTAGCGAAAAAAAAACATGAATGTATATTTATGAAATAGACCGCCAGGGTCGGGTTTATTAATATAAAATTAAAGTACAAGATAAAGAAATCTTAATTATATGGAGGTGAAGATATTGTCGAACTACTTTTATCACTTTCATGAGTTCTGGAATTAAATAGCAAAGATAAATCTACAATCAAGATTCTCTGCATATAAAAAAGGTTAGTCAATAAATATCACGAAATAAATGTATTTGTATAATGTACATGAATACATACTCGTAGTAATAATAAAGCTTCTATAAACTCAAATATAGTTTTCCTGTTATCCGTATATTGTGTTGGAATACTAACTGATCTTAAAAG